TCATAAGCTGAGGGAACCCTATGTGTATGTGTTGGAGACACATATATTACCTATTCCCTAGATACTTGGCAAGCGTGCGATAAATCTCCTGATAAAATGTGTCACCAGTCATCTGTGACCGAATCGCTCATTGGCTGGCTGGGACAGTATTTGGGTCTGTCTTCTATGATCGCATGAACACCGCAGGAATTTTTTTCAGAGCTACTTAGCGGCAAGCAATACTAGGCCACTGTTTATGGCGCTCCTAACATAGTCATAATTATAACCAATAGCTCCCCCTTGCTGGCCGAACATGACGGTTTTTTGTCTTTGCAGAGCAAGCCAAGCGTCACCAGTCAGGCGGATTTTTTTGAGAGGACAGACCACAGATAAGTAATTCTGTATATTCTTTGTAAATGTAAAACTGCCTATTCCTGTCATGTGCTGATGAAGTCTTTCTAGCTCCAACATGCATTTGTCATCTGTGTATGTGATATTGCAAAGCTCATTAGATCTACCTTTTATCTGGTTCGATATCTAGTCAGAAAGAAATAACTAAAAGGTACCTAAACGGCGTGCAATACAGAGGAAAAAACTCCACCAGGTGAAAATAAATCTAAGTTCAAATGATAACTAAAAGACTAGACAGGACACTTTAAATCTTCTTAACGTTCACCAGCTGTAAACACTGGTGAAAAGTTCTGGTTGTTCAACCAATTCTGATCTTCGGTATGGTCTCTGCAGTCGTCAGAGTAACGTAACTGCATTGTGCCTGTTCACAGCAGAGGTGTGATATTTGCGTCTTTCAGCCGACATATCTGATTCATTGAGCATTTGTTGTATAGGTGAACTTCTTGACAGTTTCAAGAGAGATGACATAGCTTTATCTGTACAGTGTTCTCTCTGTTCCCATACCTACGGTGTTGCCCCTGGAGATCCCATACAGGAGCAACCACGTGTAGACCTGTCGGTCCTCAAGGGAAGGAAGAGGCGGATCATGGGCATTACTCGCAATAAGGAGGCTTCCATAAAATGCACAGCAGACACATGATGCTCTGGTCCTGGGTTCACCCGAGGAATCATCACATCCTGCACAAGACCCCTGAACCTCACATCTTTGTGTGGAGCTTTTTTCCCCCTCACTCGTCAATGAGATCAACAACGAGCAGCCCACAGGTCTGGGACTTCGATGAGTACACAAAAGAGTACATTCTTCTTCAGCATGTTTTGACACCTGTAACATTTTGTACAACAGAATCTCAAAGCACACATCCAGCATTGCTTTCCTTATTTGGTCCTGGTACTCTGGAGAGAGGGGTCAATGGTAATTGGCATTTGAACCTTTCTATCCAACAGGACTTTGGACGGTCGGACATTTCTTCTTATTTTTGTTCTTCAGAGTGACCTAACTGGGTGTGCCTGTTTACAGCCAAGCTGTGATAACTGAGCCTTTCAAGCGACACATCCGACTTTATCAAGCGTTTGGCGTTTGCTGACCCAGTTAACTTCCCAGATAGTTTCCTTAACTTTATTTGGTGGACTTTGGTCTTGTTCCACAACTTCTTTCGGGCGTGCACATCCATTTTACAGATATGGCTTCTCTGTATGCAGACTGTTGGTTCCTTGCCTCTCAGGCAAATGCACTCTGACTTCAAAGAAAAACATCCCCAATTAAGGACCCTAATGACATGCATGTTAGGAGGCACAGAGTATTTTCACCCCCCCCCCCCCCCCCCCCCCCAATCAGCAACTCAAGAAGCCTCGCGGTTCAAAAGTTTTAAAAAGAGTTCAGCATGAATGAAACATACAAACTTCTGTAAGTGGCTTCAGATAATTTTCAATAAAATATATTGGGGAAACCGACAGGAAGCTAGCTGATCGGTTTGGTGAACATCTTTCAGAAATTGAGAAAACAAACAAACGAATCCCTCCCCATTTCAACAGCTCTGACCAAAGAGGCAAAGATGATACATCCGTCACTGCGATACAATCTTGCTCTGGTGATCAAACTACACATTCCTGTTTGGAAAATGACCTCATCCATAGTCTAGATGTTCTAAGCCAAACATGTATCAATGTTCAGCATACCTGCATTTAAACAGTTTCAGTTTTCCTACTTTAATTTTATTATTATTTTAATCGATCTATTATCATACCATTTATACATTAGTACTCTTTTTTCCTACTTCTATTGTATATTATCACTACTACATTTATGACTATTTTCAAGCCTTCATTTACTTTATTTTATTCATTCTACAAGCCTTTTTTTTTAAAAAAATAACTTTATACTTATTCATGTTGGGTTGAGCGGTTAGAGCACTTTCCCCTTTTTTATTGTTGTGTAGTTCATGTTGAGAAAGACCCCAGCCAAAACACTGATTTGTCTTGTGTGTACGTTGTTCCCCTTCCATTAAGATTTTTAGACACAGTCCACTGGATTATTTTCTTCAACTAATTGTATGTGATATACAGAGATTTACGGATCATCACATACACCCTAGCTCCCATATGAACAGAAACCTGCATGATTCTAAACAAGTGAGCAAACTAAAAACATGGCAGCAATAAGGTCAAGTTACCTGATGCTCTACGGATCAGCCGGATATCCTTCACTGGCAAGCCAAGCAACACAAGTTCGGCTCCAATCTGAAAGTAACGCAGATAAACTGACAATCTGAACACATGGTGAGTTAATTTGTGCATTTTTAATTCTATATTATTTCAGTTTTAACAAAGGAGGGCGAAAGTTGAAGAGCCATGACACGGAACTAAAGATTTAAAAACTGATGGACACTGTAATGAGTCATTTTCTCATGTGTATTTCATGTTCATAAATAATGCTGAATGAGCAACTTAAGATGGGCTTAATTAAAGATTTTTTCACTCCGTCCAGTCCAACCTTCAACAAAACTGGATGGAAACAAGACTCTTGTAACTCAGTTTCTCATGACTTCTGCATAAACCACGTACTGTCTCTTTTCAAGCCTTCTGGCCACTCATGCACAGTTCATGATTGTAAAAATTGTGTTTATTATGACCTGAAATTCACCCTGGGCAGATAACAAGAGTAATGAAGACGTCTCAAAAGAAACCGGCTCATGAAGAGAACTGGTTGCCCACATCAGGAGGAGTCAACCTACATTTTTTGTTCAAATTTTAAGAGGAAAACTGGTGGGACAAAAATAAAGTTGGAGGAAAATAGAGGCAGAAGGAGAGTGAGAGAAAAGATGCAGGACAGTCTGACATCCTGGCATGGAGGATCATATGCATCGAGTTGACTGAAAATACAAGAGACAGAAGGTTGTGGACAGACATGACTACCAATGTCACACAGCATGGACTTTAGAAAGGAAGGATTCAGGAAAGGTGAAGAAATCAGAGAAATATAGAAAGGCAAGATGGGTGTACAACCAGAATGCTACTGGCACCATTGGTACTAGAGCTCTGAGCTGGCTGCTAAAGATTGGGACGGAGCACTGTGATGTCGGTTCTTGAATCAACTCATCTTAACAGAGAAATGTCTGGACAACATCTCACATCAACAATTATACTCCAAAGAAGACGGCAATATACTGGACACATCAGGAGGAGAAATGGACATAGAATTACTAAACAGACACTGAAACGAGAAGCGGTTGGCCTAAGGATGTCCAAGAGAAACTCCGAGACGAACGTAGCAGAGGGCGCTGGACTGCAGTCCATCTCAAACATCAAGAGGTCTGTCCAGAACAGAACAGAATAGAGGACTAGATTGCAAGCTGCATGTGACATATAACGGAATAACAAGATCTTCCTCTTCATGCTCACCAAGTGAAAATCTAATGAAAAGTTCAAGTTGTTAGTTCTTTCCTGGACTTTGATCTTGTTCCAGAACCTGAGCTTCGCATGACATGCAGGTCCATTTTACAGATATTTCTTACTTCTATGCAGGCTGTAGGTTCCTTGCCTCTCAGGCAGATGAGTTTCAAGGAAACACCCCTAGTCACCTCCTACAACATGCTTTTAGGAAGACAGTGGGTCTAGCCCTCAGCGTTTATTGTTGACATGTACAGGACCCCAGTCCGCATTCAGCAGGACGAATCTGTACCGCCTTTCTCTCAGCTTTCATCCAGCATAGCTTTCAATGTAGACAATCAGCTTTCACACCTTTAGGTTCCGGGGTCCTGTCGCAAAACGAATCTATATTCGGCTATTCCCCCAGTTATCCAGCATTCCCAAGTCCACTCACACTTCATGAGTTTTCCCTGGCATTAATAACATATTTAGCATCACTACGGTGGGTCTATTCTTTGTTCCCAAAAGTGGAGCCCTGAAACCCGAGATAGGATGACGACTGTGGTACTGAGAGCTGACCATTCAGAAGCAATTACAAACTACTGAACATAAAATTTGCCTATAAAAACCACAACAGCCAAAAATGCTGGGGCTCGTTTTGCTAAATCCTGTAAAAGATATGCAACTAACTATACTGAAAGGTGCAGGTGACGCAAACTATAACACAATGTGACAACAAGCCCTTTTATGGGTGAACACAAAAGAAAAACCTGGCAACAATTCACCTGTTAAGCCTGAGCACGGTCGCTAATAACACAAGAAGAAACAGGGTAACAATTTATTAGAGAGACTGTTGGAATAACACCATGTCTGGATTATTATGACAGACAGAGAATGAAATGGTTCAGCCATCTAATGAAATGCAGCTAGGTGAAATTACATATAAGACTTTTTACAGTAGAGCATCTGGAAGAAAAGTGAGAGGAAGACCAAGAAAAAGTGGATAAATGGTGTAGCAGAAACATCGAAAAAGATCAATACAGAAAACTACGACACAGGGCTACAACCTGGTATCAGTAAGACGACAAATGCAGCAGCAGCCTCGGCATTATTTAGCCAAACCTGGCAAAATACACATTTCCTGTACGAAATAAAAATGGCCGACCCTATTCATACCGACAGCTCAAGTGTTGTTCTTCTTAGCATTCACCAGTTCTAAACTTCATTGAAAAAACACAACTGACCATTTTCTCATCTGCATCAAAGGGTAGCCCTCTCAGTATGATTGTCCGCGAAGGCTGATTGCAGACCCATTTGTCACCTCCCTTGTCATCTGAAGCCCTGGGTATCTCAATACGTGTCTCAGGTTCTCTGTGAAATCTTTCTGAAGTACTACTGCTGCTTCTTTCAACCTCCCCATCAAACTGAAAACAAATGAAAGGACAACTAAATATGAATTATCAAAAATATATATATAGACTAAAATATTATAGATTCTCAGAGTACCATGGACAGAGAAGACCAGAAATACTGACATTTTCAAAGATCTGAACATCATTTGAACTGAAAATCGAGGAAGATTGACCAAGAAACTGAAATATTTTTGTCATATCAAAAGCCATGATCAATGATAAAAAATAGCAGAAGGAATGACAGCAGAAAGAATGGGCAGGGACCGACCAACACAAAGATAGTCGCAGGATATAAGTGACTCCTTGACTATGAAAGTACACGAGGCAGGAGAGCTGGTGAGAGACCGAGTTTCTTTCAGGCAAACTGTGACGAGAGTGACATTCTGCAAAGGATCTGCCACACGATGATGATGCCTGGGGCATACTGAGAGAATGTGGGATGACAGAGAGCTGAAAACTGTATACACAAGGGAGCTGAATGGTTGTATACCACGAGACAGACCAAGAAGACAATGGACAGATAACATCCTGACAGATCTACAAACACTTTGTGTTACCAATGGAAAGAGAAGGCCAACCAGAGAGATGAATGGAGGCAAGAGATATCTGCAGAAATGAAGCTCAAGGGCTCGGAATGCGGAAGAAGAAGAAACACAGTGTACACATTCAGGACAAAGCATGTATGCACAACTATCATTATCATGAGCTGGTAAGTGGATGCTATCATGATTTCCCAATCTCACACAATCAAGGATCAGGTCACTGTTCTGGTCTTGCTCCATCCATGTGGCCAAACCATCCAGGCATTTATATCTCTGTCTTCCTGTTGCTCTCTTTCCATCAATCTTGCCCACTGTTATCAAGTTCTCTGGTCCATTCCTTCTCACAACATACATATTTGCGAAGTCATGTAAAGATGGGGAACTGGGGAAGATGTTAAAACTAGAGCCAGGAGAATATGTGCAGTAATGTCACTGCACATTGGGCATTCCCATGCTTGCTCAGTCGATTGATGGTCTGCTGCAATAAAAGTAAAGTTCCCTTTTCCACGCCCAAGACGTATAGGGCATATAGGGCTATATTTTTATAGACCAATCGGCACAAGATGGGTGATGTGGTCAGCATCATGACTACACCTGGTACCTACTCAAGGCTGGGTTGCCCTGGAAGTCAAGGTAATTTTTTTTAAAGTTCGGCTTCGCCAGGGAGCCAACCCATGATCTTCCGATCCACACGTGAGCGTCTGGCCGCTTTGCCATGGCGGCTCCCCAAAGTGCCACCATGTGGATGAGAATCACCCGTGGAGAGGTGCCAGAAACCCCATTTAGCTCCTACGATGAATGAATGAATCAAGAACTAACACTACTTTGTTTCCAGTCGCGACAGTATTTGAGTCTGTCACCTCTGATTGCATCAAAACTGCAGGAGTCTTTTTCAGGGCTTTTGGTGGCATGCAATGCTAACCATTTACTATAGCGCACATAACATAGTCACAATTCTAACCTTAAGCACCCCTTTCGTGGATACCATTAACGCAAAGGTTTTTTCTAGCAAGCATCTACTTACCTCCCCTCAGTGTTGAATACCTTCCAAAAACCTCTGCTGACCCCCCGCGGAAAAATTTTGTCTTTCAAAAGTACTAACTGTGCTCACCCCATTGTCATATTTGGACGACCTGGAGTCTGCGTCACTGGCTCCTCCCCGCCCAGATTGTAAGGGACTTCTATCTCTATCTCTATTTCTGCTTCTGTCGCTGTGTCTCCCTGAACTTTCCCTTTCACTGTCCCAGTCTCCTCTACTTCTGTCCTTGTCATAGTCGCTCCTCCGGCGATCTCGATCCCTGCAACATACAATGTTTATAGATAATCAAAAACCATTTCTCGTGGACTAAGATTTCACTGAAATGCAATAGATGCTAAGACACTCACACCAATTCTTAACTGTTTATCCTTCCTTTTCTTTTTAGTCGGGTAATTGGAGTTCCAACTTCAGAGCAAACGGGTCACCCCTTATTTGCTCCATTCCTGTAGCAAAGAAAACCAAAAAATGTCCACCATTGTCCCTTGTGAATAAAATGGACACAGACTGCAGTCTCAGTAAAGCCAACAGAATACACATGCATTAAATGCATAAGGCAGCAGTCAGAAGTACAATTAAGAACAAGAGATGCAGTTCCCCATCAATGCAAGTAGCAGTTATCACAGACTGATAGGTAGAATTATCTGGGAGAATGCCCCCTTTCTCTCTCCTGGCTCAGAATCAAGTACTGAACATAGGAGAGGCATATTCTGATGTCATCAGGTCATGACTGGAGATCCACTGCAGTTAACCTTCACTGCGAAGACAGCACTTGACTGAGACAATTTCTGTATGACGTACAAGCAGACCGGCTGTAAATGGGTCTCTGTCAGTCATATTTTATCAATGTTAGATTTCACAACTGATAAGACTACAACAATCTGCACACACAAAAAGGAATGGATTTCTACTAAGTCTGGCAGTCCAGGCAGACTTCAGGAGGGTTATGAATTCCAGCTTGACAACCAAATTTGTCAGAGCAAGACTTTTTAGACAGCATAGACAGCCATAGTCTGCGGTGAATGTCTTTTGCAGAAGATAAGTCCATTTTTATCAGCAAGTTTTGTTGCTCTTTTTACCTGTCTAGTGTTATCATTCATCTATAATCCATGTCTCGGTCCCAATGCCTCACTGTAGGCAAAACAAGAATAGACCCAGTGTCTCCCCCACAAGTATGTCATTGGGAGCTTCCTTCAAGTTGGAGAAACAACATTTTTGTTTTCCTAACACAAACGCCATCTTACCGGTGTCGAACCCGGGTCTCCCGCAAGAGAACCCAACATTGTTTTCACTCCTCAATGTTGCAGAACCAACCCCAGCATCTGCTGGTCTTTTAATTTTACTAGAAAAATTTATGCTCAGTAGTTTGCCAATAAATAAAAGGGAACAAGAAAACGAAAGTTTCTGCTAGATGACTTTTTTTCTCTTTATCTCATTTCATGTTGGCCATCATCGACCCTAGAATGCAGATTAAAGTTTCTGAATATCTTCTTCTTCTTCTCAGTGTTCTTTGGTTTATTAGTCGCAGTCTTCTTCTTCTTGGCGATCAATGGTGGAGACAAGTTTTGGTTTATTAGTCGCAGTCTTCTTCTTCTTGGCGATCAATGGTGGAGACAAGTTTTGGTTATTCACCTGCTTCTGGACTTTGGTCTTGTTCCAGAACTTGAGTTTTGCATGCATGTCTGTTTTACAGATTTAGATAATTTGTATGTGCCTTATTAGTCACTTCTGCAACATTTTTCTCATGGATCAATGGGTCGATTCTTGTTTCACCCAATCCCCACGTGGGGTCCCGTGGTCCCATTTGAGTGGAGGGGAGCACACACAAGAACAGACCTGCTGTTTCCTTAACAAGCATCTGCTTCAGATTGGTATGCAAGGAACCAACAGTCCGCGTGCAAATAAGCCAAGTCTACATTTTCCAGATTACTAACAATGCAAACACATCTGTTACCTGCTTTGATCTCTGTCATCTCTACTTCTCACATCCCTCATTGTCAGATCTCTATCTCTCAACACATCTCTACCCGCAAACATCCCAGCGTTAAAATCGACACCAGGTGGCAATGGTTCCATTCTGCTCCTAAACTCTAGCCGTCCCCGAAGCTCTGCTTCTCGAATCAATGCAAGTCTGCGGAAGTGATCTTCTTCACCGGGTTGAAAGCCTTCAATGACCTCACGAAAATCAAACGGGCGGTCCGTGGGGTTTGGAAAACTGCCTGCAAAGTTTGGACCAATACCGCCATGAAATGGGTTAGGAAAAGCCATGACTGAACCTGGAAGTCAGGAACAAAAAAGGTACATTCAGTGAATTTGCATCCTCTATGTGTTTTAAGTTTTATCATAGTTAACGTTCCCTGACAGCCAAATCTTCTTCTTCTTTAAGTTTGCTGGCTGCAAAACTCCAGGCTGATCTAAATATAATCTTTAGCTGAAAGTTTTGTATTCTTAGATGTGCCTAGACTTTCCTATTGCTAACTGGATTATGATGATATATTTTCTATATTATTTGACTATCCCATTTTGTACAACTTAATAATTGTTATCTGTTTTTATAAACATTCAGTTAGTCTTTCCTCTAGAGCCTAGGTAGGCGTATAGGGCAAAGGCCCTAGCTCTTCACGTCTCGCTTCACTGCCACCTGTTTTAGGTCAGAGAATGTCATCAGGTCCATGTTTAAGCCTTACCTGATGATGGTGCTATGCCAGATCTCTCTTAGTCTTCTACGTTTTCTTTACCTTCCCGTGTCCATATGAGTACCTGATCCGAGAGTCTTGTTTTTAATCTATTCTGAGTGCATGGCAGATGTAGAGGAAATCAAAATTGTTTGTTTTCTTTGGCTTTTGATATTTCCTTACTTTTTCTTATTTCTTTACTTTTATTTTAAAGTATATACTAATAATTTCCCACAAAAGACTAATATAATTTTGTAATTCCATGGGTATGAACCAAATATTTTGTTTGTTTTAGTAGTTTTATTTTCCATGTGCATTGTGGTCAATGTTCTTGTCTTTCAACTAACGTTTATATGGTTAGTTGTGTATCCTTTACAGGATGTTGCAGAACCAATATCAGCAGCCCCTGGCTGTTGTGTGATTTCTCTTGGCAAATTTACGTCCAGTAGTTTGCCATTGCTTTCTGGACGGTCTGCTTTCTTGATACCACTGTCAAAACCAATGCAAAGCGAACAGCCCGCAGCTGAAGATCGAACCCAGCACTACGAATCGTTCGCATCGACTTAGCCACATAGCTGACTAGGTTTATATGACAAAACTAAAAATACATTTTCGAAGAGTTCAGAATTGGGCACTGAGGCCCATCTAACATTCTGTACTTTTGACCTCACTTCCATAATTCTTTCTTTGTTTCGAGGCGAAATACTAGATAATTAAAGGTGCAATAACACAAAAATAAAGCGTGAATAATGCTAGAAACCATTAAAATGGTCGAAGAAAGAAAATGTTAAAAAAAAAAAGACTTTTACAACAGCAAAACTAGAGCTGCTAAAGCTGGAGCTCACAAAAAAATAGAAAGAAGCTAAAAAGAAATGAGGTGAATAAAGACAGATAAAAGGAAATATTTAGACGACCTAGCTTCTTCTTCTTTGTGTTCACCAGCTGTACACTCTGGCGTAAAGTTCTGGTTGTTCGTCCACTACTGAACTGCAGTCATGCTCCAGAACCTGAGTGTTGCATGTGCATCAGTTTTACAGATCTGATTCAATTGAATGCAGACTGCTGGTTCCTTGCCTCTCAGGCAGATGCACTCCGACTTCAAAGAAAGCTCCCCAGTTAGTCGACTCTTACGACATGCTTTTGGGGAGGCAGTGGGTCTATTCTTGTTTTCCCCACAATAGGGCCCCGGAACCCACACGGGGGGGACGACCTAGCAAAAGAAGTGGAGACAAAGCAGTAAAAAGAAACCTCGAGACCTTTACAGTAACACAAGGAAATTAGTAGGTAAATATAGTTATAGTCATCCCTGTCAGGATTCCGGGGCCCTATTATAGGGAAAACAAGAATAGAACCACTGCCTACCCAAAAGCATGTCGTAAGAGTCGACTAATTGGGAGCTTCCTTCGAAGTCGGAGTGCATCTGCCCGAGAGGCATCTGTAAAACGGATGCACACGCAACACTCAAGTTTTGGAACGGGACTGCAGTCCAGAAGTGGATTAACAACCAGAACTTTCCGCCAGAGTTTACAGCTGGTGACCGCGAAGAAGAAGAAGTTATAGACAGCCAATAGAATCAATCAAAAATAGAATGACTTGGTGTGAGGTGGTTGAGGGCCTATGCTCCATACTTCATTGGGGGTTAGAAGGCAGAATAAGCAATGACAATGAAGTTGATCCTCAACTTCTCACAAAGTAAGGAAAGCTGTAAGTTTTAGTAGGTCCAGCATGATGCTGCTGGCCACATGACCCATCTTGTGCTGATTTATCTATACAAAATATAGGCCTAGCAGGTATTTCATTCTGAATACACTGAAAACAATTTGGGCTATCCTCCAAATAATGGCAACATATTATGGCGGCCACAAAAACACCTTAAAAGGGCTCAGTCACATGTAAACTGCAGACTTCCAGGGTCTTGAATTGCGGACTTTCGGTGACTACCCCCACGCCGCGGATTAGGGCTTAACTAGATGGCTGGGACTCACAAGCAGCAGCTTCCGCATCTCCTGCAGCTTTGCTCGTGAGTCCCAGCCATCTAGTTTAGCTCCAATCCATGCTGCGCGTAGCGGCGTGGAAGATAACTCTTGACGGTGGCAGTATATTATAATAGTACTATAGTCGCCTGAAGTCCGCAATTTCATGTGACTGAGGCCCTGTTTTTGGATGCCCACAATATGTGGCCGTTATTCGCAGGATAGCAAAAATTTGGAATCCTTTGTAGTACAAAATTAAAAGTACAAACTGTACATTGAATTGTGCAGCAATCAATATGTGTAGTGTATCTTAATCTACAAAACTGATGCTTACTCAACAATGCACCCACTTAGGCAACTGCATCGCTATCACGACGATGACATTATATTACTTATAAAAAACGTATCATTCGTTTCACACACTGTTCTCACAACACACACTCATCGTCATCGTCGCATTTATTCTCATTCTGCATAGATAATGTTTGTTTCTCAGAGTTTCTGATTCTCCATTCAATCCATTCATTGCATTATTCAACGAATTTAAATTATAAACTCATGAATATGACCATGATGACGTAGAATGTTCAACCAAATTAATAATCTCTAGATCTTAAATGTTTTACGTGTAAAATCCTATTAAAGAACCCGATGAATTCAACCAAATGTTGACTTACATACAATTTCTGGACAGTGCGTCGATAGAGCGTTCTTTCCGCCCTGCACAAAAATGGCGACACCTACGTTATGAAAAAGACGTCACTTCCGCTACGGGCATGGGCGAACATGTTTATACACAACTTACGATCTGCAACAAAGTATTTTCAGAATCCTATTTGCTTATGCTCTGTGGCTAAATCGATGCGTAACGCTTCGTAATGCCGGGAGGCCGGGTTCGATCCCAGCTGCGGGCCATGCGCCTTTACTGGACGTAAATTTGCCTAGAAAACCACACAACAGCCAGGAGCTGTTGGGGTTGGTTCTGCAACGTCCTGTAAAGGATACGCAACTAACCTATCTGCTTATAGGGGATGGAGAGTGCTAAGAAAGGACTTTCATATAATATTAGGAAAACGGAAGTATTGGTTACATCAAAGAAGAAGATAATTCCACACTGTGAAATCTCAACTGAAGGAAAAAGACTTCACCAAGTCAACAAATTCAAATATCTGGAAACAATCATATCATCAGATGGAAAATGTTTGACAGAGATTAAAAGCAGAACAGGTCAAGCGAAAGCTGCTTTTCCGAAAATGAAAAATATCTTATGCAATAAATCGCTCTCGATTAATGTCAGAAAGAGGGTGCTAAAATGTTACATAGAACCTGTTCTGCTGTATGGCAGCGAATCTTGGAATGTTAGTGAACAAATTAAGAAGAATTTGCAAGCAAAAGAGATGTAGTTTCTGAGACGAATATTACAAATATTTTGGACGGCCAGAGTAGCTAACAACGATTGCTTGAGAAAAGCTAATGAAAGTAGATCTCTATATACAACAATAATGAAGAGACAAACACTGTTCTTTGGCCACATAATGAGAAGAGAGACATTGGAAAACATTGTGACAACTGGAAAGATCAGTAGGAAAGGGGGCAGACTAGGAGAGATCATGCTGGATGGGCTGAAAAGATAGCATGGAGGGATATGGAAACGATGGCAGGGAGGGATATGGAAACGATGGCATGGAGGGATATCATCAAGAGAGTTGTTCCAAGCAACAAGGGATCGTGATCTGTGGAGACGCATGAGCGCCTACGCCAGTTGGCAGGGCACATGATGATGATAATGATATGTTTATAGTAGTTGTTCTTAACCAACGCCTTCTCTTCTAATAAACAGAGAAGGCCGTGTTCTTAACCTTCCTAATGCCGTGGCCCTTTCATTGCTACTTCATAACTTCAGTGAAAATGTTAGTTAATGAGTTGGGTTATCGTCTTCGCACTCGAGACATGTCCACATGTGCTCATATCCTCCCTTCAGAATTAACCCAGCGTCAGGTAGCTATTAATACCAGTTCTATGTTTATTTACGTCCTTTGATGTACTTGGTGTGCGTCTCATCTTTTGCTATACCGATCTCAACTCCCAAGTCCGTCATTCTGGCGAGTGATATTGATTCACTGCCCCAAAGTCCTCCACCCTTCACATTTCTCAAAGGGCATTCATGATTTCGACATAATCCATAGGCTGACCTTCGGTAGTGATAGCGGATCCGGCCAAACTATCAGCTCTTTCAATCTTTCAATATGTGTTTTCCGACAGTTTAGGCGATCCCTGTGAAAGGGTCCTTTGACCTCCAAAGGGGTCGCGTACCACAGGTTGAGAACAGTTGGCTTATAGGATGTGAGAGTTAGACTCTCACTGCGTTGATGGAACGGAGGATTTAGGCTTTCGAACATAAATGCTAATAACGTATTTTACGAATTAGCTATTCACAATATGAAACAAACAAATAGGAAATCGACAAAGTTACAAAATTTGCAGGACATCACGAAGTCTCTTTTGGCAGCGGTGAAACGTCGCAAACTAGTTTATTTCGGATACACGGTGAGACATAATTCGATTGCAAAGATTGTATTTCAGGGAACATTGGGAAAAGTGGGGGGTCGAAGAAAAAAGGGGAAAAGA